CTAAACCCCTAGACCCCAAACCCCCTGTACCATGGAGCTGAAAACATCCTCGACTCCCCCAGGGTCGGAGACCCTACAAACACCCAGATCCCTCAGAGTGGACCTCCAGGAGCCGGGGCAGAAGCCTGCGCTACACACTCGGGGCCTCTCTGGGGTTTAGGCAACCGTTTGGGGTTTAGGGGTTCAGGGAATTAGGGGTTTAGGGTTTAGGGTTAGAGCTTCGGGCTTTTTGTGTTTGCAAGGGTGTATACGGGCGCTTCTGTCTGGAGGGTTTTACAACGGCCTGCGTATCTGGGGGGTTTAGGAAGGCCTTTGCATCTGGAGGGGCTGAGAATGGAAGACTTGTCGCAGCCGTGCTTGAATGGTTTTTGCGAGACTTCTACCAAGGTCTTTTGAGAGTTCTACGAAGGGATCTATAAAATGGCTTTCGGGTTTCCTTTACAGAGGGGTTGATGAGGGCTGAGGCTACCGGAGTTAAGCTGTCGATGGCTTTCGGGTTTGGGGTTTGTAAATGGTTGTGATTATTACAAGGAAAACCAAAGAACACTCCTGCCTCAGCTGCAGGTGTCGTAGCTGCCGTAGCTGCAGTCTGCGGCTGAGGTGTAACCGGCTGGCCCACCGTTGCCGGCTGCGCTGCAGATGCTGGTTGCGCAGCCATCGCCGGTTGCGCCACTGGAGCCGGGGCCGCCTTTGGTGGGTGGCGCGGAGGCACGGTCTGCGGCTGCCTCGGCGACAACATGGGAAAATGATCTTGTGAGTGGCAACGCGTGCACCAGACAGCGGAGGCTTGGTGCGGGCTGATCAGCTTCGGAGAAGCACGAGCTGAAGTGCTACAGTAAGATTGCAGGTTGCGGTATGCAGTGGTATGCAACAGCTGAGGCCAAGGCTTGGGAATGCCAATTCCTCCTGTTGGAGTTGCCACAGGCCTCGTCTATGAGTTGTCGCAGAATCACTGTAGTTGTAGAGTTGCTTGCATCTGCTTACCTTTCACACCGCTTCCAACATGTGCCTCTGTCAAAAACACTGCTCCCTAAGCCAAAGACGCAAAGACAAAAGCAATCGATTTGTCATTCACCCCCTGCAAGCAAGCCCAGTCACTTGTTCATCAGGTTACGGGGTTACTGTTCCCCCATGTACATTTATAGCAATATTACCCACAACCCGGTAACCTACTATGTAACAGGCTTCTAAAGGGTACTCCCAGTTGTCCAGCACGGCTCAGTGCTTGGCACTGCGGCGCTCTGGACAAGCCTCCGCATGTGTTTGCTTTTCAGTGAAGGAACGAATTTCCGACCAACCCACCCTATAACCTACACCCTAATCCCCAAACCTATGAAGATTCCCTGCACAGGGACGTCAGGCGATTGCAATGCTTCGTGTAATCTCAGGAAAATCCAATCGCTTTGCAGGGGGTAGAGTGGGTCGCTTTTAACCACTCACCTAATGACCTCACCAAGCCGCTCAACCCGCTAAACCCGTCAGCCAGCCTTAAATCGTCCCTGCACCCACCAAGGAGAACCAACTTTACAGCTCGATCATATGCTGCCCTGCACAAACTCCAAAACCCACTGAGTAAGTCTGCTTTCCAAATTGGCATAAGGCTTTAGCAGGGCTTTATGGTCATTTTTACCAAGGGCTTTGGATACTCCCAAACCCCTTAACTAAGGAAGGTGCCTTAAAATCATAATGAAACTTTCCGAGCATAGTAGTCCGGGATTTTCCGACAAGCCAGAGGGTTTGGAGGGTTTCTGGACCTGGCACTCAACTTCCCGGTAATGCAGACCCTTGCAATCCCGCCCTCTCTGAATCATTATGCAAAGCATTATTGGTGTCGCTGAACAAGTAGGGCTCATATAATGTAGGGGCCTTAATAAGTAGAATAGGGTGTTGGTGGTTCCTTATTATAATTATAGTATCATATACCCCAAACCCTATTCTAATTATTAAGGCCCCTACATTATAGTCTTTTGAGACAAGAAGAACAGCTTCACGGCAGTTTTGGGGCTCGCGCTGCTGCTCCAGCTGGGTTTGCTGCTGCTGCAGCCTTGGTCACTGCCCGTACGCTCCGACAGACCCCAAACAGATGTGGCTTGTGGGTTTAGGGTTTTAGGGTTTAGGGGTTTAGGGTTTAGGAGGCTACAGAAGTAAGGAACCCATGTTCAATATGAGCCAAAGTTCCGTGAGCCTGGAAGGGCAACAAGACTCTGAACCCCCAAGTGGGATCCGATCCAACTTCCCGAACAGCAGGATCCATGCTGTAAGGGCTCTGGGTTAATGGGCCCAAACACCATCGTAGCACCACTCAACGAAACTTTAGCCTACGTGCAGTAATACTTGGGGGCAGTTTGGAGGTGTGCTCTACTGTAAAAAAGGAAACCTAAGGCATAGCAGTGGTAGTTCCTCCGAACCCCTAAGTTGAGCCATTTGGGACTTTCCGAAAATTAGGGGTACCTTATTTTGGGGTCCTTATAATAAGGATCCTACTATTTAAGGTACTATATCAGGGCCCCCCTATGTTCGGAAAGCCCCCCCCATTTTGCAAGAAGGCCAAGATATGAGGCCCAGGGCCGATCCATCATCTCCTGCTGCTGGTTGATGGGCAAGTTCCTGAGCCACCGAGCCCAGAGAGCCCAAGACGCCCTTAAAGAAAGGAAGATACCTTAAATCGTAATATCAAGGCCCCTAAAATTTAAGGTATACTCCTTAATTAAGGGGTATTGGGCTCTCTGGGAGGGTTTGCTTGAAAACCGTCCTTGTGACGATACTGGCTACTATAAAGGTCAGAACTCGGGAACTAGGCCCTAAAACCACCACAAACTTCTCTTAAGTTTCGAGGAACCCCGCGGATAAACCGTAACTCCCAAGCCCTAACTCACCAGACCCCAAAGCCTAAACCCCTATAGAAGCCTTATAGGATCCCTTAAAGGAACCCTTACAGAACCCATATAGCATCCCTTAAAAGAGCCCTTTATAGAACCCCTTATAGCATCAACACCCTTACAATTCCCCTGCGCCGAAAACCCTCCCGCCCTCAACCCTGAACCTTGAAGGGCGCCAAGGGTCTGCAATTGCATCTGCTGCATCAGCTGATTCCTCTCGACCTTCAGCAGAAACCACGGTTTTAGGGTTTAGGCGACGTAAAGACAGAGGCTTTCGGGGTTTTAGGTTTTGGGTTTCGGCTTGTATAGGGGTTCTATCAGGGCTTCGCGTTCCCGAAACCCGCAGCCAACCCTAAGCCTTATTCCCAAAAGCGGCAGATTCTGAAGGGATTCAGACGTATAGAACACCAAAACTGATCAGGGCTTACGAGTAGGGTCTTTCAGAAAGGATTCTTGCAGGGTGTCATGTGGTTTAGAATTTCTCAGGGTTCAGGGTTGCTGCAAAATCAAATATGAGCATCCGTACTATTTACATTTACAGTAAGCTCCACCAGAAAGAAAGGCGTTTGACTCGCCTCATGGCAAAGAATGCGTGAGCTCAAGAAGTAAAGGGCCCATTACACAGCACCCAAGCGGCCGCCGGATCCTCATTATCAGATCCACCCCCCAAACCCTAAACCCGAAATTCCACCACCACGTAAGGAATCCCCTGCTCTTCACAACCTCCCCCCCCCGTCCACCTGGTGCTTCTGCTGCATCTCCAGCAGTGACCTGAGATCGGTTTCGGGTTTAGGGTTTTGTGGTGTGTGCGATAATAGGCAGTGCTACTACTAGTCGGAATGGTGCCTTGGGGTTGGTTATACTGTGTTTGAAGCAGGGACGGGGATGCTAGTAGTTGCTTTTGAAACTATATTTCCAAAAAACAGAAACGATAATCAGCGAGAGTAGTATTAAGTGCTCACAAAAAAGACTGGTTTGTCAAAGTGGCAGCAATCAAACACAGCAGTCAAAACGAACCGTAGTACCTACGACAGCATTAGCATTGACTGACTAAGATCAACATAATGATGATCGTCTTGATTTTGAGCACAATGAAAGCAGCATGAACACGTATCGTCATGACAATGGAAAACCCTACCATGTATACTGTTACTACCTGACATGGGAAACACCTGCAACAGCCACAGAACACCCGGAATGACCACGGCAACGAACATGAAAGCAACGATAATCATACGGTAAAGGTCTGGATATTTGATCCCTGCATAGGCATTCAAGTTATACTATACTGATCTCGAAACACTGTTCTGCTTCAGGCGAGAGAGTTTACACTGGGAACTCCTGCATGTCATGCTGCTGCACGCCAAACACGCACGATGATCATCATTCAACCTTCACCCCTAGCCCGAAGCCCCAGGCCCAAATCCTATTTCTAGGGCCTCAAACCCGGAGAGCCCGATACCCCTTAATGAAGGAGTATCCCTTAATTATAGGAGCCTTGATACTATGATTTAAGGTATCTTCCTTTCTTTCAGGGCGTATTGGGCTCTCTGGGAACCCAAAAGCCCTGACCCCCCGACTCGCCGAGCCGCTTCAACCTCAAACCCCAGTCCCGAACTTTTAGGGTTTAGGGTTTATAGGGGTTTAGGGTTTATAGGGGCTTATAGGGGTTTAGGGTTTTATAGGGATTTAGGGTTTAGGGTTGCTAACCCAAGAACCACCAACTGGCAGGCATGATCGCATAATGGTGCTATGGCATGACATCTTTCAACAATCCTGCAAAAACTAGAAATAATGGCGGCGATAATCTATCATCATCATCATCATCATCGTCATCACATCACCATCGTCATAGTTGTAAAACTAACCAGAATGGTTGTGATAATAACAGAAGCAGTCAAAAAATGATAATCTCCGTGGTGATAGTCGTAACACTAGTATATACAGGTAGAAAGAGAAAGAGAGAGAGAGAGAGAGACAGAGAGAGATCATGACAAAAAAAACGCCTCACAATTTCCTGGACACTTCCCAGCAGGAAGCGTCAGTGGTTCTCAGGCTCGTACTGGGGCTTCGCCACCTTCCCAGAGCTCAGGGGGGTTCAGGGGTATGGGCATATGGTCGAATATTAGAGGTCTGAGCACCTGGGACAGTACGGAGGTTAACCCGATCACCATGGTAAGGTTAGATCATATGTGTATATATACAATACATACACACATATTTTGGTATACCCCAATAAGTTAAAGGTTAAAGGCCGCCCACCTAGCTCTCAGGACAAGCAACCCTTCTAGGCTCTATCTTCGGTCTTGGCCTCCTGCATGGGCTGCCTTGGATGTGGTGGCAGTTGCGGGCTAGGGCTTGGAAGGGCTTTAGCGGGGTTTGTATGGGTCTCGATTGGGATTCTTTGGGTTTTAACATTACGTCAGCAATCAGGGTCAGGGCTTAGGCTCAAGGGCTCAAGCTCCGTTAACAGACTCCAAAATCCCTTTATGAAACAAGACTAATTATAAAACCTAAACCCTAAACCCTAAACCTTTTATGAAGCAAGACTAGTTGTAAACCCTAAACCCTAAACCGTAACCCCTAAACCTTTTATGAAACAAGACTAGTTACATTCCGCAAAAAAGAAGCAGCGTTCTGGGAGTTTCTGGGGAAGATTTGGAGCCGCTCTTTGGATGATCTCCCTCGCCGAGGGCTTCACGATGGTTTTTTTGGCAAGGGGTCGTCGAGGGTCAAGGTGTTTAGGAGCCTCTAGAGGGTCTACCTGAGATTCCGAAAATCCACGGTTTTAAGGGTTCTACCCTCCAATGAAGGGGTCACAACCTACCTACTAGTTGGGAGGGTTTGGGGTCACAGGTAGGATTTCGGGAACTTCGGGAAGGAATGTGGCCCCGTGACTAACCCAAACTCCTTTAACTTAAGGGCTATAAATATGAAGATCGTTAATCCTCTGAACCCAAAGCCAGCGAATCGTGCAGCCTGTGGGTCAAGACAAGAACGGCATAGTAGGAAGCATAGGGCCAAGAGGGTTTGCAACACCCAAAACTCTTTCAAAAAATAGACACCCTAACCCCTAACCCCCTAAACCCCCCAACCCCTAAACCCCTATAAACCCCTAAACCCTAGACGCAAGCAGAAGGATCCTAATCTTGGGAGGTGCACAAAGGCCCCCGGTTTTGGTTTTGAGGATTCCTCCGCAAAAGACCCCTTCCTGATGAGGCCCCCGGACAGGCTTCTTGGCCTCATACAAAGTGCAGGCTTAAAGGGACTTTGTGAGTCAGGTTTGTAGGTAGCATTCGGGGTTTAGGGTCTTTAGGCTTTACTTTTTCTATTTTTTTTTTGGGGGGGGTTAGGGTTTAGGGTTTAGGGCCTTTAGGGTTTAGGCATATTTAATTGGGCGACTTACAATACCAAAAATATAACGGAGCCTCATGATTTTGAACCTTTTAAAAGTCCCGGCAGAGCCCCTTAAACCAGAGTCAGCGTGATCCAAGGTGCCCAGTCTGCGTCATCGGCTGCGGCTGCGCTTGCGGCTGCGCTTGCGGCTGCGCTTGCAGCTGCTGTGGCTGGACCTGCTGCGGCGGCTTTTGAGCCTGGGCCAGTTTGTAAGGGGTCAGGGTTCTACGGTTGATGAAATAAATCCTGCATTACCCATAGTAAGGAATATACCATAAGTCCCATAGTTCAGGGTCCTAAAGGTAATGCAGGATTTATATCATCAACAGTAGGGTATACTTAGCATGTTTCCATGCAAGGGTAGTTTGTATCCCTTGAGACCGCATGAGCCCGACAAGATGCTGAAATGGCTCAAGTACCATGAGAGTGTGACTGTTATATAGCTGCGGAGGAATACGACGATCCCCAGCAACCCTTGCGGTACCCGATTCTTCTCACTATCAATCTAAACAAGGAGGCGGCAGTGAAAACACAAGTGCCCGCGGGTGCTGCGGGACGATCATGAATGTCGGGGTCTTCAGGATCGTTCCGCTACTGGGGAAGCTGCCCCTGAGAGTGACTCAGACTGATAATGACTGATAGAACTGAAGGGCGTTAATCAATCGGTTCGAAGGGCCCCAAACTCTCAACCCCCGAATCCTGAAACCTGGATTTTCCCGAGATGCTGACAAACCCTAAACCCCAAGTCCCGAGCCCTGAAACCTCAACCAAAACCCTGAACAAACCCGAAATCTAACCAAAGCAGTCTGAATCTCGCCACGACTCATAGAAAGTCTCGATAACTGAACCCAAGAGAGCCCAACTTCACTTCCCCATGCAATGAAGGACTATCCGATAAGTTGTATAGGCTTCATGTCGTTTTCAAAGGAACATGTCCTCATTGAATCTCTTTTTTTGACTGAAGTCCTTCATTTAAGTGGCTCCCGGAGATCTTGAACCCTCGCGGAGCCTGGAATAGCTGCTGCTGCTGTTGCAACATGAGAATCTGCTGCTGCCTCAGTGCTCTCTCAAAGGGATGAGAAGAAGGGCTTCGAAGGCTTTCAAGTGCAAGAGGAGGTATGCAGAAGAGACCCCCTCCAATAGGTCACTAAGCTTGCCGCAGCTGTTGTTTGATGGCTGGCGGCTGTGGAATGAGCAGCTGCTTCTGCAGCTGCACTACCTGATGCGTGCAGCTTCTGGGCTTTATGAAGCTTTTGAGGTGCTACTCGGTTTGTAGGGTTGAACACGTCCGAAGGTTTTAAGGGATTGGGGTTTACTTGCAAGTTCCCTTGCACCAGTGGTAAATCTAGTCAGGTTCCCCTGCAAATCCGATGATGCGCAAACTCTTATCGGGATCTTTTACAAATAATATGGTTCCCTTATTCTTGCAAGTTACATTAAATCCCGCAACAAGAAGCCAGCAAACCCTGACCCCCAAGCCAAGGGTCTTAGCCCCAAGGTTCCTTTCTTGGACAACCACACGGAAAACCTTTAACAACGCACTACGGATGATGATATAAATTCTGCATTACCCATGATAAAGAAGATACCATAATTACCATAGTTTAGGGTCTTGAAGGTACTGGAGGAACTTATATCATCAACAGTAAGAGTCCCTTAAACCCTGAACCACTCCCTTGCAAAACAAAAGTCTTATGAGACCCAAGGAGTCCTGAAAGGTTTCTAAGCAGCCAGAAGCTTCACTGGAACCCCCTTATTGCAGGAACCCATAGACCTCAAAGTGAACCCAAAACCCTCAGAAGACCCTTCAAGATCCCTTCAAAGGAACCCTCAAAAGGGACCCATCTATATAAGAGCCTTTAAGAGGGCCTTTAAACGGGACCCATTCAATCTAGGACATTTCCACGTGGGTAGTTACCGTTATAGGAGCCTTATAGAAGGTCTATATACCTTATAGAACGCCTTATAGAAGCCCTATATACCCTAAACTCCCCACCTGTAGTTTCCTAAACCCTAAACCCCAAAACCCTAAATCCAAATACCTAAATTCCCCACCTGTAGCTTCCCTCAAGTAAAACGAGAGGAACCCCCTAAACCCTGAACCCTAAACCCAGAGCCTTTAAAAGGAACCCATCAAAAATTCAAACTCCCGGGCCTGGTCTTGCAGCGCCCCAATCCTCGGCTGGAGGCTCTGAAGGCAGGAGCTTTCGGGTTTAGGGGGGTTTGAAGGGGTTTTAGGGGGTTTTATAGGGGTTTAGGGGGTTTTATAGGGTTTTATAGGGGTTTAGGGGTTTCAGGGGTTTAGGGGGTTTAGGGTTTAGGGCTCTTTTTAAGGGTCCCTTTAGGGGCTTCGGGTCTAGGGTTTAGGGGTTTAGGGGTTTTAGGAGTTTTGAGGGTTTAGGGCTTAAGGGCTTTAGGGGTTTAGTTCCGGGTGTAACTCGTGGCTTATCGCTTCGAGGTTCAGATCACCAGCGAGCCGGGCTCCAGCAGGGCTCTGAAATTCTGGGTTCTTGTTAAGGGATTTATGTAATTTAAGTTGCTGTAATTGGGAAACCAGAATCTTTTTGTATTTTAGATCCCTATTATAATCCTTGAACAAGAACCCAGAAAAGGATCAGAGATTGGGTTTGGGGAATGTTGGGGGGTTTGTCGGGTTGAGGATTGCTTGTCGCTCGAAAGCTCCTGCGGTCTTGAAGGTTAGGCCCTATGATTACGGGGTCAGCAGTTCGAGTTGCAGGGAAAACCTAAACCCTCAACCCTAAACCATAAACCCTCAGGAGGTTCAGAGCCCTTGTGGCTGAAGGTTCAGGGTATGCGGGATTGAGAGCTGAACCACCCCCCAAAACCCCCAAACTCTGAACCCCTAGACCCTAAACCCTAATGGACCCTAAACTCATAAATCCCGACCTCTGACCCCCAAAACCCAAAGCCCTACACCCGAAGCCCGAAGTTGCCACCAAGTCTCTGCTCGGCGTATGGATTGGGCTGAGCTGGCACCACCACCCTTTGGCTTGAGGGTTTAAGGTTCAGGGCTTATAAATCCTAAACCCTAAACCCTATATTATAAATCCTAAACCCTAAACCCTATATTATAAATCCTAAACCCTAAACCCTATATAGGGTTTACGGCCAACCCCGGCGTGGGAATCCGAAACCTCCCTTTTCAGGACACCACAATCGTACGGCACCCTTGCAAGAAGGGAGTCTCTCCTGATAAGGATCGTGGGAAGGGAATGTCAAGAGAGAACCCTAGGCGCCTGTCACAGCTCTAAACCCCAGAACACCCAAGACTTTATCAAAACCAAAGGCACCACTACGCAAGCTTAGTGAGCCCCAAACCCGTCACCTGGACCCTGGAAAACCTTCCTTTGTCAGGGTCCCCTAGTATGACTTCCTTATGCCAGTCCTGAAAAAAGCCTGGGTTCTTGCTAAGGGATGTAACTTCAGTTGCTATAATGAGGAATCCATGGTATCTGTTTTGGATCCCGACTATAGTAACTTAAACTAAAATCCTTTAACAAGAGCCCAGGTCAGCCCTAAACCCTAAGCCCTCATTAGGAGCCCCCATGCTCCGAGTTGAAGCAGGGGCCTCTGAAAGATGCGACAACTCAACCGGCGTAGGGCTATTTTTGTAGATTCTTATTCGGGTCTGCAAGCATTATAGGTAATCCCTACGCCCTAAGCCCTAGGGCCTTTCACACTGGGTTCTTGTTTTAAAGGATGAAATTTAAGTTGCTATGAAAGGGGTCTATACTAAATATGGTTTCGATATGATAATAACTGAAATTAAATCCCTTAACAAGAACCCAGTAGAAAGGATGTTCTGTCTGAGTCTGTATCCCTAAGGGTCCAAGTACCCAAATAGTAGGGTTTCAATTTCCAACAACCATTCAGAGTATGGATTTACCCCTAGACCCTAGCCCCTAAACCCCTAAACCCCTAAACCCAAAACCCCTAAACCCCTAAACCCCTAAAGCCCTAAACCCTAAAACCCTAAACTCCACTGTCTTAAATTCGGTTTTACTCGTGTTTTGGCGGGCTGTCTGCGCTCGCTGCAAGGAGTCGAGGCTCTGCCGGGTTGTGTGGGGTTTCCTAATTAGGGCTTAGGGCTTTAAGGCTTTAGGGTTAGGGCTTCAGGGCTTTAGCGTTTAGGGTTTTAGGGCTTTAGGGTTTAGGGCTTTAGGGTTTAGGGCTTTAGGGGTTTTAGGGCTGTACTGATAGACTTCTCCTTCTCCAGGGCTTTGCTAACATTTGTTAAGGGCTTTTGGGTTTAGGGAGTTTAGGGAGTCTAGGGGGTTTAGGGAGTTTAGGGGGTTTAGGGGTTTAGGGTTGGTGTGCCTTTTGTACCTGTGAGAACGCTGAAGCCCCGGATTCCGCGTGAAATGGGGGGCCTGGGAAACTTTGAAGTGCTTTTCTTCTTGGTCGGGGCTCTTGTAAGTTAGGATCCCTGTTCCTGTTTCGTATAGTTTCGTGTCGCAAACTTACCGAGCACGATGCCGCGAAGTGTACCAATTTCCTGCAACACTGCGGGATGCTTAAATTAGATGGGGATGCCATCGGATCTCTTATGCTCTGATTCCCCTCAACTCCAACTTCACAAAATAGAAACCAAGATTCTGCGGCTGCTGTGGCTGAGCCACCTGCTGTGGCACCGTCTGCGGCGGTTGCACCATCTGCTGTGGCACTGTCTGCTGCGGTTGGATCATCTGCTGCGGCATTGTCTGCTGCGGTTGGGCCATCTGCTGTGGCATTGTCTGCTGCGGTTGGGCCATCTGCTGTGGCATTGTTTGCTGCGGTTGGGCCATCTGCTGTGGCATTTTCTGCTGTGGTTGGGCCATCTGCTGCGGCTGCATTGTCTGCGGATGTGCCTGGCAAGGAAAATCAACACCAGTGCAGTACATGCTGCATCGTCATAATGTAGGAAGCTGATCAAGCAACCCCCTGCTTCTTATTGGCATCCTGGATATGGATCCTACTCTTCGGGAACCGCGGAAAAAAATTACCGAACCCAAACACAACGCTTTCCTTTGCAACACGAGGTAACAGCAGCTAGTTTTGTTTCTGACAGGCTAAACGTCAAAGCCTGAACCGTGAACCCTGTTTCCTCGAACTTGTAAACCCCAAATCCTAAATCTCAAACTCTGAATCCTAGAAGTAAGGAACACGGAATGGAAGCGAAACGGCCACAGAGAAACGGAAGATGAACCTGTGCCTGGTTGCCCAAAGTGGGCATTACCAAGTTCAGGGTACGCCGTCTCAGGTTCCGAGACTCGGGGCTCGGGGCTTCCAGACTTCAGCCCCCGCATGATCCCTAAACCCTACGCCCCTAAACCCCTAAACCCTAAGCCCTAACCCCTTAACCCCTAAACCCCTAAACCCCTAAACCATAAACCCTAAACCCTAAACTAAACTCCTGAACCCTACACCCCTAAAACCCTAAACTCCTAACCCCTAAACCCTAAAACCCGCCTAAAGCACAAGTTGGGGCTTTCCGGGATCCTTTTGCTAAGAGTCCGGCATTCCATGGCTGGACCTGCACCTGTGGAGAAGGGCTAGAGTTTAGGGTTTGGGGGTTTAGGGGTTTGGGGGTTAGGGTTTAGGGGTTTAGGGTTTAGGGTTTATGGTTTAGGGGTGTAAGGGTGTAGGGT